GCCATGGAACCTTCGGCAAAGGATTACCGAGTACCTCCAGGAAACTTTCCTGGACATCTCTCTGGAGAATTCCCGTGAGATCTCAGTGTGCATCAACATCCTGTTCTGCCGTACCAATTAGCTACACAGGGAAATGTCCAGCTCACAGAAACACAGCCAGCCTTCCACATTTCTATACCCTGAACCCACATCTCCACACTTGACAAGCCACAGCCACTTACCAGGCATCTCCTCTCCTGCTTCTTGCTCACCAGAGAGCAACTGCTGAGACTGGCTAGACACCTCTGGAATGGAGAGCAGTTCCTGGCTGCCTTCCCCATCGGGCAACCCCTTCGGGAGTTCCACACCGTTGTCTAACTCCACCTCTTCATCAATAACTTCATCCTCCAGGTTAGGTCCTCTTTCTGCCGCCTCCAGGCCTGCCGAAGTATCCACGAGGCTCTTGGCGGTGGAGGTGGGGTTACCACCGAGGATAGCATCCAGCTCCTTATAGAACCTGCAGGTCTTAGGTGAAGCAGTGGAGTGATGGTTAGCTTCCTTGCCTTATGGTATGCCTGCCTCAGCTCCTTTATCTTCACTCTGCATTGCAGCGTATGCCGATCATAGTCCCTTTCGCACAAGCCTTGAGAAATGTGTCCGTAGGTATCCCAATTCCTACTGCTCAAGTGCAGCTGTGACTGCACAGCCTCCTCTCCTCATATACTGATCAGATCCAACAGCTCTGCAGTGGTCTAAGTGGGAGAGCATTTGCTTTGATAACCCGCCATGGCCTCCTGGAAAGATTCTATGAGACCTCTCCATGCCGATCCAGCAGGAAATGGAATTTCAAAAATTCCCAGGGCTTCTAGGGGGGAGGGATGGATGGTTGTTTACCTGGCTGCAGGGCGGTGGAATTCAAACTGCTGACCAGAATGGTCACAATGGGCATTGTGGGACACCTCCTGAATGCCAATTAAAGTGATGAAATCAAGCGTGGTGTCTACACTGGCACTTTGTAAAGAAAAATTTAGAGGAAAAAGATGTATGTCTCTCTTCAGGGCAGTTGTATTTTGTTGCCAAAACTGGGCATTTTTCCTGACAAAAGTCGCATTGCGGTGTGTACGCATTCGTTATTTTGTCGACAATTGGTAGTTTTTGTCGACAAAACTTGATAGTGTAGACAAGGCCTATGATTCCAGCTAAGATCATCCAGGCACACATTTGAAAGACAATGGGGAAAGCTGTTAGCTTTGAGGATCCTACTTTCTGTCTCCAGCAAATGGCAAACTTTCTTTTGCCAAGGCTGTGAGTTACTGGAGCAAAGGGCTATACATAGGTGCTGGGGGTGTGGCAGCTTGAAGTGGTTTCTGTTATATACTGGGTTACAGTTTGGTTCAATGGCTCTCCACACCCCCATTACACAAACTGTTTCAGCAGCCTAGGGCTATAATCAGTTAAGCATGACTTGATTTCTGTGAAAGGGATCAATTGCCAGCGGCTGATCGGGAAGTTGTTAGTGAGCTCTGACAGGGAGACAGGTTGCTACAGTGAGAGGTCCTGAGGACAAATCTGTAGGAAGTTAGAGTCACCTGGTAAGTCAGACGTATGTACAGTCTGGACTCTTTATTAGAACATTAGCATTTCAGAGAAAATACTTTGATTGAAGAAGGCTGTATGGTCACTGGTTACTACTATCATTGCTCCCGGAGGGAACAGAATTGTAAGATCTGGATATAAATCAGATCTGCTGAAGTAATCATGGTTGATGCACAGGAACAACAACAAAGATGTAGTCTGAGAATAGGAGTCACATGATAGCTTGAGACCTAGGTCCTAGAGGAGATGTGCTCTGTGATACCAAGAGGAGTCAGAGGTGTGGTTAACTCTGTAACCTGATCCCGGTTGTTTGACAGATAAGAGGAACTGACAAATCTCCATTAAATAAACAAAATGGGACTATACAAACACTGATGGCTCTTTATTGGCACATCTTTAGCTTTACTAAGTACTAAATGACTAAATTAAAATGTACTAAGCAAACGTAGGCTTTTAGCTTTTCAACTCAGGAGGCTACAAGCAGGAAGAGTATAGCCAAGAAGCAAACGCTCTATTCCCTTACTCACTCTTTTGATGTACATCAGATCAATCAAGGATTTTATTATTTTTATTGCAGTTTATATGCAGATAGAAATATCCCCTTTAGTAATTTACCAAAGTAATTAATTCCCAAAAAAGGTAATTTAAGGAAAATATTAGACTCATAGACTCATAGACTTTAAGGTCAGAAGGGACCATTATGATCATCTAGTCTGACCTCCCGCATGATGCAGGCCACAAAAGCTGACCCACCCCCTTTCCCTTAACTCAGCTGTAGAAGTCCCCAAATCCTGTGATTTAAAGACTTCAAGTCGCAGAGAATCCTCCAGCTAGCGAACCCCGCCCCATGCTGCGGAAGAAGGCGAAAAACCTCCAGGAGTTCACTCAGTCTCATGTGGATCTAATCACCTCAGAAGGAAAAAACTTGACAACCTCTTTCTAATAACTTATTTAGATTTTTAGATATACCAAGCATTTGGTCTGGAAGAAATCCCAGAAGGATTTTTCACGACCTGTAACAGAACCTGTCACAGTATGTAAAGGCCTGACTTGGTTTCCAGCAAGCAAGGAGTTAATTCCTTGTTCAGACCTGATACAGAATGGAATGAAGTAGCAGAGCTGGAGTTTGAAGGCCCAATCAGACACTGAGTAAATGATATAAAAATACACCTATGAGAGGCAGAATGCTTTTGTGAAGGCAAAGTTCTGAGCTCACTGGTCACAGGACTGAGTTGTAACTAAAATGGGTTGTTTCTGTATATTTTCTTGTTATGTTAAGCCATTTTGATCTTTTGCTATACAGACCATCCTCAGGAGTGAAAAAACTTTGGGCAAGAATAACTTTTTTGCAAATTTTTTCAAACAAATTCACTGCACTGGGTTACAGTACCTTTACTGACTGAAACTTATTACTATAGCCTTCCACAGGATTTCTATGCTGACAGGTAGCAAAGGGGAAAAACACAGTATCCTGCAGTTTGTAAGGGCTTATCTCTTTTCTTCATATAGATTGCTGACTATAAACTCACAAAGGTTTTATCAAGAAGTTTAGTATCAGGGGGTAGCCGTGTTAGTCTGTATCTACAAAAACAACAAGGAGTCTGGTAGCACCTTAAAGACTAACAGATTTATTTGGGCACAAGCTTTCGTGAGTAAAAACCTCACTTCTTCGGATGCATAGAGTGAAAGTTTAGAACCTTTATTTTCTGCTTAAGCTTCTACTGATGGGACAATTTTTATAATAGGGTACCATGGATGTGATAATGCAAGACATATCTTTAAGAATAGGATATAGTTTTTAAAGATCTAGTGAAGATTGTGTCTATGCTTTTGACATCTGATGCTGGAAAACTCTTTAAGGACTAAAATGGCAATACTGATTTAAGATCATAGGGACAATGGGCTTGAATAAGCATTTTATAAATTAGATATAAAGGGCGTCTGAGATACCCTCTTCCTCAGTAACAGTCAATAGACTTGTACTGAAATTTTAAAAAGTTTGGCTATTAAAATCCCCCTCCGCTCCGAAATTAATTTTGAAGCTGACTCCTAGTGAGAAATGTGATTTTAAAGAATGCTATTTGATTTAAAAAATGTATTCTCCTTTGCAGGCAAAGGCAGGATCTGCCCAGCGATAGAGACTAGCTGTCTAAAATGAAAACAGAGAAATTGAGACAGCCATCTTAAACATACAAGACAAGACTTTGATCTAATGACTAACCATATGGGACAATGCTGTTAACCTTGGAAAAATCTGACAGTTTGGGGAAAAAAAAGAAAATGAATAACTTACTTTCAATAACTTTTCTGATTTTTACTGACACACTTGAAATTTATAAAGTCCACATTGATTCTGGTTGCACTTTCCCTGTTAAAAGTTGTCCTATCTCCCTCTACATCCAGATGCACAATAAACAACGGGTTTTTTTGGAGGGAGAGGGGGGTTTACAGCTTTTTGACAGTTTTCTTTAACTCTCCCCAAGTGTGTCTTCTCTCTCTCAAGATGTCTAATAGTGTATAAAAGTTCTTTCTGCATGTGAGTGCCTATTAGTAGGGCTTTATCTTGATTGTCTAGTGTCAACTGCTCTATGATACTTCTTTTTTTGGGGGGGGCAAGCTGAGTGGAATTTTAGTGCTGTTAAACACTTATGCCTATGTTTGTATATATATATTAGGCAGCATACATTTTTGTATTTTATAAAAATAATTACATATATATGTATGTATATTTATATTCGTTTCTGTAAAGACTTTCCCCCTTGTTTTCACTGTGGCAGAGATATTTGATCCCATAGTATGACAGGTTCTTGCTTAAAGGAAAGTGATTTTGTTTAGCTGTAGCTCTTTTTATTAAGGAAGGAGCTCTCTCGCTAGGGCCCAATCCTGCCCAGCGCTCCCTGCAGGCTAACGCTGGTGTAGAGAAGTCCCACGGAGGCTACACGCAGGATTGACGCCGATCCTACCTATTAATATACCCCATCCCCATCGCCCTCAGTTCACTATGAGTGCTGGAGCTTAAATCTATGACCAAACTGCTGGCTGGTCGCTTCTCCATGCGGCCCAGCAGTAGCGTCCCCGCCGCGTGCATTAGGCGGGCTCCCGGGATACTGTCCCCCCTTCTCTAGCGTATGAAGTCAAATTCCCGTTAATTTTGGTGCCCCTCTCGCTGACACACGGAGCCATCCCCCCGCCCACCGCAGAGTTTCTGGCCCGCCTGGGCATCAGCTGAAAGGGAGGGAACGGCCCTGGAACCGGGTGAGGCTCGGAGGCACTGAAGGCCCCCAGCCAAGAAGCCCGAGAGAGCACCGGGCAGGGCTTGCCTGAGCCGCCCGGGACTGGGATCCGGGAGGAGGGGGGGGGCGAGGGCAGAGGCGTGGCTGGAGGAGGAGCAGGTTGGGGATGGGGGAGGCTCTGCGCTCCCGGCTCCCTCCCTCCCGCACTAGTGAGGTGTCAGTGCGCGCGGGAGGCTGGTGGCAGTGCTGGGAGCGAGGAGCGCAGCGCAGCGCAGGCAAGGCGCAGCGGCAGCATGAAAGGCTCCTACCTGGCCTGGGAGCTGGCGGGCGCTGTGCTGCTGCTGAGCTTTCCAACAGGTGGGACTGTGCCGCGTGGTCTAGCCGCTGCTGGGGGGTCCGCGCTGCACAGCTCGCTTCGTGTGCAGGGGGAGACGGTGCGCTGCTCCCAGAAGCGAGTGAGGGGAGGGAAGGGGCAGCACTCATCCAGCTTCTCCCGCTGGTACTTGGGCTGTGCAGTCGCCGGTGAGAGGCTAGCAAAGCTCTTGCACCTCAGCTTCCAGAGCAGCGCTGGGACAGGTAGGGCTGGTAGCAGTGCAGTGCCGGGGTGCGTGGAGGCGTTCGTGGAGAATTGCAAACACTTATTTCTGCTCCTCTGCCTAGGGGTGCTTGAACAATTTGTGTAGTGGGGTGGGAGGATGGGGAGATGGTACTGAGAGCCATTGACCATAAACCCAGCACCTATGCCTCTGCCGGGGAAGGAAAGTCTGGTTTTCTTTACCCCCATTCCATTGATAAAGATTGACCAGCTCGCCGCACCAGCTGTCTTTATTGTGAAAACTCTGGCGCTGTAACTAGGAGAAGCAGCGGCTCACACAAAGGACAGGTTCCTCGCATTACTTAGAGGTCCCTCCTGCTACAGGGGGCTGGGTATTTGTTGCATTGCATTGACTACTGACCTGAGTTTCAGTTGCACGAACTTTGGCAAGTCCTTGCATAGCTCGTCCTGCCAATGAATAGCTTGAGCGCGATTTTTGGAGACGCGTGAGCTCTCCTTGCCGCCCTCCAATGCCCAGTCTCGTTATGCTGCTGTAGTGCTCCCTGAAGTCAGGCTTGCATTGGTTTTGGAGGGGCAGCGTGGTAGCTTGATAGCTATTGCAGTGTCCGAATGGACTACTGTGAGGGAAGCAGAAACAATCACTGCTCCTGAGCAAATGGCAGCTGCATTTTTTGGTAATATTTCCTATTCAGGCGTGCGAATCAGGCTACACTACACGCGCCCTGGTATAAGTGCTTCCCACATCTAGGGAAGGGGTGTTAGTAGTTAATCCACCTTTTTGTTCTTCAGAGAACTATTATCTGTCGGTGGGGGAGGGGTCTTGCATCTGCCCGGGTTGGGTTGTTTTGGCAGTAAACCGTCTGGTAATCGGTACAAAATGACTCTGTGGTCAGATGGCTGTTAAACAACAGAAATGGTAATGAGAAATACTTTCAAGAGCAGGAGTCCGGCTTTCAGCAGCAGAGGTGAAGGTGTAAGTGAAATGTAGTCTTCAGGGTTGTCGCTGGTTTCATTCATTTTACACAGATCATTTTGAGGGCACTGTTACATTGCTGAATTTAGTAGAGCATCTCCCAGTCAGCGTATTTATGCATTTTGTCAGTCTTGTGAGAAACTTTTAATCACCTGTTCTTTCCAAGTAAGAATACCTGTCAAGCCCTCTTTTAAAGGAGGCTTTCTAGTTCTTGCACTGGCTTGTGGATTTTTAGGTCATTTCACTCATGCTGTGCCTAATGAACTGGAGAACTGAGTTGATGGTACGGATGGGACAGCAACTATGCATGCTTGTCATGCCATTGTCATTCTAATTTATTGCCCTCTTTTGTTTGGACAGGTCACTCAGACTCAGGCACATAGCAATTCCTATCACCTTTATGCCGAGTTTTACCTGACTCTGCAGGTAGTCCTGCTGAAATAAATGGGACAACTTGCAGTAGAAGTAAAGTACTCAACATGAAAAAGGTGGCAGAATCAGTCTCAACTAGCATATGTGTGAAACCTGAGCAGTTGCCATCATCCGGATTTAGATTGTATAGGTCAGGCAATGTCAAACCCAACTCAAGCTACCGATGACAATCTGTCAGTACAGTAACATATATCAAGCTGACAAATTCAGGATTTCCCCCATCAAAATATTTAATAAAAGATGTGTAGGGGAGAAACCATCAAATGTTCTCAGTGTCCTAAAATCATCCCTTGGATAACACTAATGATTTAAAGGAGTTGCACCAGGGATGAATTCAGCTCACTGTTGAAATCAAAATTGGAAACCTGACAACTTAAAACAATTGATTCCTCCCTCCCTTGTCTTATTTGAAGCTAAGGTCTGGAGGGAAGCATGAAAATGAAAGGTGGTTGAACTTGCTCTCTCAATTCTTGAAAGTGGGGTCTTGCAAATAACTCTTTCTGGCCCAATGGTTCTTTAATTTATCCACAGTGGAACAGCCAAGAGAGAGAGAAAAAGAGACAGAGAGAGACTCTGTAGCCTGGTGGTTAGCACATTGGGAGCGGCCGTCTCCTTCCTCCATTTAATTTTGTAATTATTTAGCCACAGTGGAACAACTTCAACAGGACCGAGTGAGGGAGCCCCATATCAGAGTCTCCCATAGCTCAGTGGTTAGGGCATTCACTTGAAGTAGCAGATCCCTTCCTATGGGGAATGTGAACCACCAGGGGTCTCCCACATCCCAGGTGAGTACCCTAAACACTGGGCTAAAAGTTATTATGAGGGAGGTTGTCCTCCTCCTGCCCTTCTTCCCTCTTTCCCCCAGCTTCTTGCAAAAAATGGCATAGGTGTGCAGCTGAGGGCTTGTCTACACTTACAGCGCTGCAGCTGCACCGGTGCAGCTGTGCCACTTAGGGATTGTCTATACTACCCACCGGATCGGCGGGCAGCGATCGATCCAGCGGGGTCGATTTATCGTGTCTAGTCTAGACACGATAAGTTAACCGCCAAGCGCTCTCCCGTCGACTCCGGTACTCCACTGGAGCGAGAGGTGCAAGTGGAGTCGACAGGAGAGCATCAGCAGTTGACTCACCACAGTGAAGACACCGCAGTCAGTAGATCTAAGTACGTCGACTTCCGTAGCTGAAGTTGCGTAACTTAGATTGATTCCCCCCCAGTGTAGACCAGGCCTTAGTGAAGCTTCTCCCATCGGCATAGGGGTGGTAGCTATGTTGACAGGAGAAGCCACACCCCTGAGCGACATAGTTATATTGACACAAATTTGTAGTGTAGATAGGATGACCAGATGTCCCGATTTTATAGGGACAGTCCCGATTTTGGGGTCTTTTTCTTATATAGGCTCCTATTACCCCCCCCCCCCCACTCCCGTCCCGATTTTTCACATTTGCTGTCTGGTCACCCTAAGTGTAGACCAAGACTGAGAATCCCAAGTGGCCGGAGCAGCCCAGACAGGTGCCTGTCTCTGAGAAGGCTAGGCTTAGTATAAACCATTGGCTTGGTATCTCCCATTGGCTAGTTTAGGCAAGGCATCACCTGGCATGCTGGCTTTTGTGAATTGCATTCTAAGGTGCCTGTCTCTCCCCATGCATTGTATAGGGTGCATGGGTGCCAAACTCAGGCTTTGAGTCCCAATGATTTTCTAGGGACTTAAAAGTTAGGTGTGGTGAAGCTGAGCATGGCCTCGCCTAAGTTTCTAGCCCATATTTATTTACATTTATAAAATACCAGTTCAGTGCTCTAGTTCTGTTCAGAAATTACATGGGTCAAAAGGGCCACAAAACCAACAACAAACAACCCCTCCCACAAGAGGTTACTCTCCAAACTTCTTGTAAGCATATACAAGATTATTATATTTAACTTCCCCTGATGTCTACTAACCTCCAGATACCATTTCTGATCCCAGACCGTCTTCTGGTTGTCCCTGACCTTCAAGTCAGCCTTTCCTTTCCTCAGGAAAAGCCTGGGAAAACAGGTCAGCCTTGCAACATGTCCTGAAGGTCACCAAATCAAGGCTCTTGTGTCAAGGAGTAGAAGGTGCAGGGGAGGTTATTTCTTTCTCTTGATTACTTACTTGATTAGATTCAGACACATTTTCTGGAATTATTTGCTTTGAATGGCACCTTAGATGAATTTACTAATATTGATGAGAAGTCCATTGTGAATGAGAATTAATGAATTAGAATGGGATGAGAAGTGAATAGTATGTAAGACTCACTATAGTAAAAATGTTTGTCTTTGGGTAAGTGTCTGTTTATATGTGTGTGTGGTGGGGGGGTGTATGTGTGTGTCTGTGTTTTATATCGCACTTAATTTCTTTGTCAGATAGTCAAGAGTTTCTCTCCTCCCCTGCCTCTCCCTCACTTTTGCAAAAAGAGAATGAGTTGGTACAAAACTAAACTTTAATATGGTTTCTCCTGTGAAATTAAGCCATTCATGTCTTCAGCCCCCTCGCTTCACTGCTGGTATTTTGTGCTCTTTCCCTGTCCTTGTGCTCTTTCCCTGTCCTTTCTGCATCTCAGTTTATTGCCACCTTCTCCCCTTGACTTATTTTTTTTTAGTTCATACACTCTTTTTGCGGGATGTTCTTTTAGAATCTTCAGGCTTCCCCTGCGGGGACTTGGACTCAACACTGCAACACCTTCTGTTTAGGTGCCCAGTAGAATTCACATCCCTGAGTTAGGCACCCTGTACAACGCATGACACAGAGTTAAGCATCTAAGAATGGAATCCACAAAAGTCAGCAAGCTTAACAGGGTACCACCTACACTAACCAATAGGAAATGCCAAGGAGAGAGGGGGTTTATAAGCCCTATCCTTCGGGCGCTTCTGTCTTGGCAGGTGGGAAGTGCCTCCCTCTGCTCAGGATTCACAGCTATGAACACTCTCCTGAAATTAGGCACCTAAACTTTCTCTTTAAAAATATTGAGGAGGTGGTGGCACCTTGCCTTATAACTTTTAGCCCTGTGGTTAGGGCAGTCACCCAGAATGTGGAAGACCTAGGCTCAATTCACCCCTCTGCCTGCTGTAGAGTAGAGACTTGAACTTGCGTCTTCTGCTCCCAAGAGAGTGCCCTAACCACAGAGCTGTGGAAAAGAGTGAGAATGAGTCTATAGCCCAGTGGTTATTGTAATCACCATGTGAGAGACCCAGGTTCCAGGCCTTCTGCTTCTGTGCATATTTAATTAATTATTTATATGCAGCGGAACAGTTTCAACAGGAGAGAATGAGAGAGACCAGCCCCAGAATACTCCACAGCCCAGTAGTGAGGGCCCTCTCCTGGGAGGGGATGACTCCAATTCTAGTCCTTTCTCCATATCAGGTTGGGTGGGAAATTGA